TCTGGACCTCTAGGCCCTGTCCGGTGGGGTGAAACGACATTGAAAAATCAACCCATTATTTTTCTAGGGGCGGCCAGGACCCGATAAACGTCCTGGGCCGCCCCTTTTTTTTTTTTGATTTTTGCCCCAGAGGCCTCAATCTAGACATATTGTCCAAACACCGGACACCAGACACCGGACACCGGACTGTCTGGAAGCCGGTCCGGACGTCCGGGCGGTTACCATGATATATATATATATTAGATATATGTAGTTTCAGTGTGTTCTTCATGTTTCTCTTGTGTGTTTTATTTTGACTGTTTGGTTCACGAATTGCGCTCTTTTAGTTCATAGATATGTGACAATATATATCTGTCTCAGATATCCTGGAACATCACGCGCTCTGGAATCATCGGTGGGGATATACACACAAACACAGGCTACCATATCTGTACTATGCGCTTAAAATGCACAAATCGCCCCCTGGGCTTCGCAGTATTGTCGGCGTCACGGAGCAGAATAATCTCGATCAGCTGCGCCATTTGTTCATGTAGTCCACCATCGACATCCCCACAAACCCTTGGCCTGTACTATCGTTGCTTCTGGCCACCTCAGCGTTGCACTACAAGGAGTCATTGAAACTCTCCGTAAGAAGGATAATGTGTTATATCAGCGAAGCAGTGTGAGACGGTGTTGGATCGTGCAAAGCGCTGAGGAGGTGATGCTTGATCTCAAACGTAATTCCTCTTCTCTTCGTGACCATGCTCCTCGCACTGTTGATTTCACAACTATGTATACCAATCTTCCTCATGACCGTATTTGTTATAATGTATCAAAAGCGGTTGAGGAAGCCTATACATATGCCTTACAACAACACGCACAAGGGCGCACACATCCTCCTACCCTTAACATGATTGTTAAAGGGCCCCGTCAAGGGGAGTGGACGGTTGATACCGGACCAAACACCTTGACCGTTTCCCAAATTCTTGAACATCTTCATTTCATTGTGACAAACACGTATCTTTATGCAGGGGACGACACCTTGCGACATCAGCTGATTGGCATGCCGATGGGGACTAGCTAATTCGACGTTGTATTGGGATGAGGCTCGATTTGTTGATGACCTCCAGCAGTGTGATCTTCGAGCAGCTCAACGGTATGCGTTCACATACCGCTTCATCGATGATGTTCTCTCATGGGGACATCTGCCACCACCGTTAGAACACTATGGCCTCGAATGGAAGGAGACCACAACGCCTGATGGCTCTTGCACATTCTTAGGTGCACGCCTCCAAGTCCGCCCTGATGGTTCCCTGTGTATGAGTGTCTTTGACAAAGCAACTGAATGGAATTTCCCTGTTATGCGTTATCCTAGTGCTACGTCTATCGTCCCCGCACACCAGCCGGCGGGAGTGTTTACATGCCAGCTTACTAGGCTTGAGTATGTATGCAACAATTGGTATGATTTGAAAAATTGCAGCAGCGATGCTCACACGCCGCATGCTTTTTCGCGGGCACTCTCCAACAACGCTTGTGAAAGGATGGACTTCCTATATTCGTAAACGTCAACACAGGTACCCTGCGCACGTGACCCGCCTCTCCAGCTGGTTCCGCAACATGCTTCGATGGTCTATTCATCACCCGCTTTCTCGGGTATCCACACACTGTCCTTGGGCTACGCCTGTCACAACCCCTTCTTCATTATCGGCGCATGTCACACCTATCACAGCCTCTTCTTCATTACCTGAGTCTACCGCACCTGCGTCCTCATCAGTCTTAGTAACCCCTTCCATGTCGTTTGTGACCCTGGCTGCCCCTTTTCGGTTCGCAGCCTCTTCCTCATCGGCCTTGGTTGCTTCTATGATTGATTCCGCTGGAGCAACTCGACCTGCAGCTGCTGTGTCGCCCTTGGTCTCGGTGTGTTTCTCCATGGCATCTGGTGCCACCGCAGTTGTTGTGTCGCCCTTGGTCTCAGTGTGTTCCTCCATGGCATCCTTGACCACCGCAGTTGCTTTGTCGCCCTTGGTCTCGGTGCGCTCCTCCATGGCATCCGTGACCATGCCTGCATTACCACCTGCAGAGTCCCCTCTACGGGTCTCACCTACGAATGCCCCCCCTGTCTCTGCTTCAGCCACTTCACCACCCCTGACTTCATTCCCCCCGTCTTCACCACCTATATTTCCCCTGGTTTTATCGTCGTCTGTTACCCACCTTTCGACAACTCTACCACCCCTGTCTTCACCACTCCTACCTCCTCTGGTTTTGTCTCCATCCGTTACCCCTCTTCCTAATAAACAAACCACTTCGTCCACACAGACTCCGTCATCATGTTCTGCCCCTGCAGAAAGCCTACTTCGCCATCCTAGACGTCGACTTCGACCTACTTCCCAACCTTAGCTTACTCCCCTTTCCTCCATCTCTGTTCTTGGACGAAAAGAACCCGTTCATTCTCCCCACCACGGCCCTCCCCAACATCCCGTCCTCGTCTTTCGCCGCCCCAAGCATCCTTACCACGCCTGCAATGCTCTTCGACTGCAGACCTTTCTGCAAAGCGGCAAACATAAAACAGGAGGGATGATGGCGAGGGGCTATCCGAGGATGAACTCGGCAAGGGGACTGTAGGAGATTTCGTAGAAAATCCGCCTGACTGGCCTCCACCGAATTTGTGTGGCCTCGCTGCTACTAACATCTGCCTGCAAGCCTATCGTCGGGATCCATGTACTCACTCTGATTTCTTGGCCATTGCTTCCGATCTTGATGCTCAAGAACGTGAGTTATATGGCGATAACCCGACTTTGCATCCCCCACAGGATAGTAATTACACTCGACATGGGGGATTCAATGTCTCTATTTCGGAGACTGCTTTGATAAGGCGCCGGCTTGATATGCAACGTGCCCCTTCGGGTGGCGACCCGGACCACTGTTCGCACGTTTGTGCCTATATTCTACATGCTCCTGGCCACTACGCCGCTCTTGTCCGTGCCTCTGGTTCTTGGGAATTATGGAATGGCGGTGTTATGGTGCAAACTATTACTGCCATCTGTGATCTCGTGCGTAATTACCCTAACCTGCAACTGTTCCAGGTCATTGACCCTATGGGTACCTCGTGTACTTCCATGCCCGCCTCTACGCCTATCTCTGTTCCTGCCTCTATACCTGTCTCTGTGCCTGTTTCTGTGTCTGTCTCCTTCCAGATTACTGACTCTATGGATACCACGTGTACTTCCATCCCCGCCTCTGCACCTGTCTCTGTGCCTGCCTCCGCACCTGTCTCCATGCCCGTTTCTGTGTCTATCTCCGTGCCTACCTCCATGTCTGTCACCGTGCCTGCCTTAGTCTTCATTCCCCCACATGCTGTACTAACACCTTGTGACCTCCTTTCTGAGATCACTGACACAGTTACACTTGGTTGTGGAAAGCATCGACTTTGTCGACATCACTACGACCGTATAATTTTTCGGGCCCGCTGTCGGCAGGGATCACACCTGTATACGGATTGTGAACATCCTCTACATCCAGATGCAGTATGTCCCATCTGTGCCTGCGGGCGCTATAGTGAATGTGCACTTAACTGTGATGGTGAACGCCCAACAATCGTCATGGCCTGCAACCGGCATGCCCTCTGCTGTGACGAAGTTGCTTACCTGCATGGTTTTCGTCCTGTAGATCAGCGGGAGGGCTGCTACCATCGCCCGCATCCTTATGACAGTTGTCCTATCTGTCATGAGGGTCTTACTTAGAAGTACCTTGCACCCTGACAAAAATGTGCAGGTGCGCTGAAAAGAGTGTACAAGACCCTTCACTAAAACTGCAAAACTGTGAAGAATGCAGTAAAAGAAGAACATACGTTTGTGTCATTTTACTTTGTTTGTACCCTGCACCCTAACACCCTCAAAAGAAAAGTCCGAAGGGTGAAAATGGAGATGAAAAATGAAGAAGGAAGTGCAGGTGCGCTGAAAAACGAACGTGGTAGACTCTTCACCAAAACTGCAAAACTATGAAAGAAAGAAGAATGCAGTGAAAGAAAGAAGATGTTTGGGTCACTTTTTTTTACTTTTTCTCCCTCCGCCTATCGGTTTTCCTTTTCTGCTACTCTCTTCCTTGTGTTTAACAGCTCTTCCTTCACTCTGCCTCTTTCCCATAGCGTGCAAGTGGGCTGTTATGGCATACGGGGATGGGGGCAGCTCGCGCTCAACTTCATCAACGTGGCGAGCCTTGTACGTTAGAGGCATAGTGGAGGAGGCGTTAAGAAGACTGAGAAACTGAATGATTTCAATGTCTTTGTTTTTTATTTTTATCCTTTGATTCAGTGTAATTTTTTTTCGTAAAACACTGAAAGAAATAATAATACTGTGAAACAAAGAATAAGAGGACACCGTTTTGTGTCATTCTGGTTTGTCTGTCTCTTTGCCTGTCTGTCCTTTCATTTTTCTTTTCTTCGCTCATCTTATTTCTTCTTCTACTTCACGTGCTTACGCTCTTAGTCAATAGTTGTGTGACAATATTCTTTGTTTCGTGGATGTTTTGCTGGCTTGTGATGGGGTGTGAACCCACAGTCTGTAGAGTTTTCCATCTGGTGTGGGTGAGTGATCGTCCACTTTGATTTTGGTTAAGGTAGATTATCATTTACAGTGTAATCAGTGAGGGGATTCTGCAGACTGTTGAGGGTTCAGCCTCCTGATGAGTCGGTGAAGGGCTGTTACTAGGCGGCCATGCTGTG